GTAGCGCGATCGAACTTTGGTGGAATGAGCGCGGGAATGCATCTGGGCAGGTAGTAGCACTTGGACATCTACGGCAGTTTTATGAAACAGGAGTCATTGTTGGTTGCCCCCTCCCTGTTGTTGTCGACCACCGGCCAGGAGCTTGTTTGTCGCCTGCCTTTGTTTGCGTTTTTTCCATTCTTGCTGCTGCTGCGCGGCGGCCGCGGGGTCTATTCATCGTTCCGAAGTTGTTTTTGTTGTGTTGTCGTGGTTGCTGCCGTTGGGTTCCTATCCAACGTTATTTCTGTTGCCGTCCGGTCGTCCGTACGATCCATCGGGTGTGCGCCTCAAGGGCCTGCCGTTAACGACCAACAACAACGCCGTCTCAGGTTGTTCTAAGCGACGACTGTGAGGGCGTCGCCTGCAACCCATCCTGCCCGAGCGAGCTCCTCGTACCGGGAAACCGTAGCGATGGCAATAGCCTGGCGGTACTGGTCGTCGTGACCACCACACTAGCGTGCTCCGCGATGGTCCTCGTAGGAGGTGCGATCAATACTTTCTACGGCACCATCTTCGTCCTATACCGTAGAACACTACAGTACAGTGCGTTGATTTCGTTATGTTCAAAGACCTGCTCCAGCTATCTAAGTGACCCTCTTCGTGCAAGCGATCTGCTGTTACATGACAGTAGTGTAGCATACTCAATCAATTCCTCAACTGTAGTTTTTTCTGTAGGTGAGCTCCTATCGCTGCTCCTCTGTCCTCTGGTGTTCTCCCTCTGTGTTCCGGTTGTTGCTTCTCAAAAACGGCCGTTTTTCTTCCAAGAGTATGCTATCACAACGGGTTATTCTCAGTCTCTACAACGTCACATTCACAAACGCAATGTTTCATTCGTTTCGACGTTTCCCACCTGATCATGACTTGAAAACATTCGCGGCTGTGCCTCTGCGAGCACTGTAGATGGTTGTTGCTGTTCGCGTCACACGCCATTCCATGGAATAACCGTGCTTTGGGCGCTCCATCGCGTTGACAACAGGATGAGTGTCGCACAGGCTGTTCGTCGCTGGTTTGGAGCCTTCTCCAGTGGAGGTAAGCCGTGAAGCTGGCAGCCAAGATGCGAACTTCGTTGCCGCCAAGAGCTCCCAACAACCACAACAACACCAGCAGTGAACGCCGTAATGACGACGACAACAACTGTAGCACAACAACCAGCGACAAGGAGATTCTTCAGTGAAAGGCACTCAGCCATTGGATCCCACGAAACCAAGGGTAAGCACAAACACGACGTTTTTCAAACACCCAGGGGGGGGGGGGTGATGAGAGAGATTAGAGGGTATCCACCACATGCTCTGCGTTGTGAAATCGGTGAATATTTGTGCTAATTCAACTATCGCAAAGCCGCATGTGACGACAGGGAATATTCTCTCTCGATCATGCGTCAAACCTCCGTATCGCCCACCCAGATTTATTTCAGGTGCTCACAAGGCGTGATACCGGTCGAATTCAGTCAGTCGCACGCCGGCGCGGTCGAATACAGTGCGGTGCATCGCGATTCGCTTCACACTGTCCGGAAGTATTCCGTGCCGAAACCGCAACAATTGTCCGAGAAGACAGTAGTCATACATACTCACACCTTTGAAAGACGAAGTCACTCACATCGATATACGAAGTGAAACTGCCAAATAATTCTGAAGGGCGCTGAGAGTATTATGACACACCACAGAAACGCACCTAAAGCTTCATGGATGAACCTCTAAGTCGTGTACATCGCCACACCGTAAACGAACCAAGGCTGTTCAGGCGAGAAGAACATGTCCGGCGCATTGCAGCAGTCGCTGTTCTCGGCGGATGGCTCTGTTCTTGAAGGGACCCTTTGCTCTATCATCGGGCCCACCGACAGCGGTGAGGGGCTTGGCTCACAGCAAGACTAACGCGCTCCACATTCCGCCCCTCTTTATCCATGCCATGGGAACCGTGATGTTGATGAGTTTCCTGTGCACCGAAAAATTGCTATTGTTTGGTTTGGAACATAGCCCTAGAGCCTGTGGTTTCTTGTCCAATCTTCACGTTCCAGGATGGATTCCATTCGCCGAGTCAAGGCGCCCGGCCTGTTCAAGTTACGCTGGCCTTCGAATAATTCGTACACTGAGTGATGAGTTTCCTGTGCACCGAAAATTTGCTGTTGTTTGGTTTGGAACCTAGCCCTAGAGCCTGTGGTTTCTTGTCCAATCTTCACGTTCCAGGATGGATTCCATTCGCCGAGTCGAGGCGCCCGGCCTGTTCAAGTTACTCTGGCCTTCGAATATTTCGTACATGCTGCACTCAGTGTTGTGGCTGACATATTGTCTTAACCTTACATACTCGTTCGTTTTGGCCAAACGGTGCTCCCCCAATACGCAACACCTGCCATGTCCTCCCGACCTGCTTTTGTCCTCGGGTTTACGACCACGAGCACCCAGACGAACATGATGAGCTTGTATGAGCACAAACAAGAACAGGCGAAAAGTCCACGTCAAACGACGGCGGCAGGGACAACGACATCAACAAGAACACCACGACCAACACCAATGTCCCAGTTTTTCTTCAATGCCTACATCGTAGCGTCGGATGCGGACTGCTGTATCTCGCTTCGACTCTATTCTGTAGTTTATTATCTTCTGCGTCACCAAACAAATTCGTCCAGGCAAGAGCGCACTGCTGGCCCTGCTTAGCGGATGCATGGGGCGTGTAGAAGGGAGAGCACTCTTCGAAGGACGGCAAATTGAAGAACAATAGGCGAGCGCTGGTTCAGGTTGTTGTGCGGGTGTCAGAGGAACCGTGCTGACTGGAGTCGCGCGTGTGCGAGCTGAGGACAATCTTGAACGTGATTGCGATGATTTGGGCGAGGGGTATGTAGGCGCGTTTGATTGGAGGCTGGACAATCTCGATGGACCGTCACCGAGACAAGGGATCGATTAGAAAGCCGTCACGAAACACACGCAATGCATAGAGCATGCAACGAATGAACACACGTTGATCTCGAGCAATCCCCACCGCCTCTGCGCCAACCACCGCCGTTTCCAGATACCCTCGGACACAGATTGGCGCTCTATCGGCTTCGTACGGCAAGACCACACTGGGTACTTGGCAGAGCTGTCGGTGTTCAACAATATGATGTTCGCGGCCATGTTAAGGACACATGGGAGCCTCGAGGATCAGGTCGCCAAGGTGGAAACGTGAGTGTGGTGTTGTTGTGGTACGGAGTTTAGTTTTGGTATGGAGATGTGCGGCAACTTGCATTGGTGGTGAGTCTCCGTACCTCAGCCCTGCGGGTAAGATTATGTTGCTTCCCTGTTTGATAGAAAGAAGCAGTTTTCGTTCGTGGTTGACGTACTCTTCATGGTGTCTGTGGTCATCTCCCGTCGTCTTCATAACGCTTGACCTACTCATCAAATCGCAAGAACAAAGCTATTAGGGAGAACTGATTTTGCTGGATCACAAAGTAGGCGAAAATTCACGACAACGACAGTAACGACAGCACGGCCGAGTAACTTCGACGGTTTGAGGGTGTTGGACCACAATGTGGCAGAGTGGGGAAAAGGGTGATAATGATTCCAATAGTAGGCCAAAGTGTTATCTAGAAACGAGAAGGGTATGGACAGCATATAGCATCGACATTTATTAATCCGTTGCGCTCCTTGTACAGGGTGATCGGAGGTGCTGCCCATGGCGAATGTCGGGACACTAGGGCGAGTTTCATCTCAGCCGGAGAAAAACCCCGCCTGTCTCTAGCTTTGGAACTGCTGTCTGATAGGCGCATCCTGCTGTTGGATGGAATCTCCTCGGGTCTGGATACCACTGCGTGCATGGCGCTGATGGAAGTACTCAAACGGCTGTCCAGAAACAAGGTAACGCGACGTGGTCGTTTTAACGTGTGGGAGGTGTTTCAGCTACTCCTAGCGCCCAAAACTACTTTTCGACAGCTACAACCATCAGGTGCATTCAATGCCCCTTGTCATGCGAGCGCAAGCCCTGTTGCCTTAAGCTCGCTCAAAAAGGCTCATATATTCTTGTTTATTCATGTATGGATATATGTATGGTCCGAGAGCTTAAGCTTAGATGGAAGCACGGCTGGTTGCAAGTATTGCCTTTCAAGATATGCATCAGAGAGAAGGCGAGAGAAAGCGAGAGAAATGTACCTCATTCCCCCGTCCCCCATACCCAACGAGTGGTCCCTCACAAGGGTTTACTCCTCCAGATTCAATTTGCTACCCCCCTTCCTTGCCCCAAAATCACGAAGCAAGCCTGTGGCAGTTTTCGTTTGGATTCAGCTCCCCCCGGGTTCATGTAGTTGCGGAAGTTCTTTGTACAAAGAGAGGGAAGTGTACATGACGGAGTTGGGAAAAACAGAAGGGGGATACAGGGAGATGTTGAGGCATGGAATAGCGAGAAGACGGCAGTCGTACTGGGGCATAGGAAGTGGGTTAAACAGGCGGGAAGTGATGTCGATCGGAGACGTTGACTAGGGAATACATGTTTGAGCCACCTTTATTTAAGTAAGAAGGAACGATTGACCGTTGGTGATCAGGCCAGCCAGTGGGAGCAATGCTCCGTCCTCTCGAGGACGCGTGGTCAATGGTCTAGCCGCTAAGGCGTGCAAAACAGTACGCCCCCCCCCC